ACCGACACAAAGCACATTCCCCAGTCTTGTTTGTGCATGCATGTTGGGGACGTTAAAGGCACACCGACACAAAGCACAACGTTCATGTAATATACTGGAGATCAACACCTCTGGGTAAATGTCATGCTGGGAACCTTTTCACGCAAATGTGAATCCAGTCTGACCCAGGTTTGGGTTTAAAAATAGCTTGTGTCAATAAATAAGTGTGAAACTATTCGTACCTCAATGAATACTCCAATCTTTTGTCAGGATAGCCCACACACGACAGAGGAAATACAGCCCTTTTTACATACGTGGTTCATGTAGTTTTCTGGCACTAATGCTTATCTATGTCAATAATCATTTGAACATTTATTTAGATAAATAATTAATGATAGTACTTGAAACTCTGACCCATTCAATCTAGCATTGGCTGCCAACGAATTTCTTCACTGCAATCTTCTCACATGTTTCGATAATCTGAGATATTCTCATATGCCTTTTCTTTCTTGATCTAACCTTGGTATCAAATACTGATTTTTATTTTCATTTAGTTCAATTTTCATGCACACATTATTCTCACAAGTATAATTTAACTTTCATCACATTTACAAAATTATACCAGAAAACAGTCTTTGAATTTAATTCATTCCAATTTTGATATGTTCTATAAAAACACCAACATTTTTCAGTTGTTTTACAAATTCGCTGAGAATTCCCTTTTTCATTGTCATTACAATTCCAACAATTAAATGATACATTTTCTCACTCAGTGTTTGAAAATGATAAAACACACACACACAAAACTCGGTGTTACATAGTGTTTAGTTGTTTTGCTTCTAACCCTTTTATTAATACTTTCTTATTGTTTTTAAGCTGTTTTAAACCTCTAAATGACTACTACTACTATTTCTACTACTACTACTCCACTACTACTACCTACTACTACTACCACCACTACTACTACTACTGCCACTGCTACTACTACTACTACTACTACTACTACTACTACTACTACTACCACAACTACTACTACTACTACACTGCTACTACATGCTACTACTACTACTACTACTATCACTACTACAGCTACTACGACTACTACTACTATCACTCTACTACTACTACTACTCACAACTACAGCACTACTACTACTACTACTACCACCACTACTACTACTCATCACTGCTGCTACTACTACTACTACTACTACTACCACTACTACAGCTACTACGACCACAACTACTACTACCACACTACTACTACCACTACTACTACCACATTGACTTGAACATACATGAAGAAGGTACAGGTACATATTCTCTACAGTTTCAATGCTATGGAAGTTGAAATATAAAATATAGAATATTTTGTAAGTTACTTAAAAATATACGTAAGTCATGATGACCTGCCTTCAGAAATAGAAGGCTGTTGGGGTCTTGTGTTCTTCCGGGGCGACGATGCCGATGTGACAGCGCGCACCCACAACGAGCAACATTTTACTCCCTCAAACACAACAGTGTGGAATTCACGTAAACACAATACAGGCCGTATTCTAGATGAAAAACCTTCCCAAGAACATCAAGAAAATGTCAAGACGTTTTAGCATATGCGCTGTGACAGGGGTGTAACAAAGAGGAGAGGAACTTCAAACTGGCGTGTGACAAGGTTGAGTTTTGTCACCTTGCTTTTACATTAATTCACTTCCGACTGAATAATGAAAACCAACGTACAGGGAAACTGAGGATATCGTTTTCTAGTGTTTACTGTTGGTTCGTGACCATGTAAAGATGTCATTATCTGGCATGATGAGTGGCTTTGAAAATTATTTCGTTCAAACCAAGACATGTCAGCTTCATGTAAAAGAACAGATGCTTACAAACCTTAAAAACATAGCGCATGTTTTGTGTGAATGGCGAGAGCTACAGGTGTGTGTGTGTGTGTGTGTGTGTGTGTGTGTGTGTGTGTGTGTGTGTGAACATGCTTACCCTTTTCTTGAACACCTGGTGTCATTACTGGTATTCAGTGATCCATTCATATAATCGTAACAGCTGCTTTTTCCTTTACACCAAATCCAATTTGTTTTAGAGCATAGTCAAGACTGGGTATTCTTTTGAAGTGACAAATGGTGAGTGAGTGAGTGAGTGAGTGAGTGAGTGAGTGAGTGAGTGAGTGAGTGAGTGAGTGAGTGAGTGAGTGAGTGAGTGAGTGAGTGAGTGAGTGAGTGAGTGAGTGAGTGAGAATGGTTTTACAATTCTGATAGCAATATTCCAGCAATGTCACTGCGTTGGACAAAAGCGGCTTTAAACAATACCTCATTCGCTTAGGATGTTTTATATGAGGGTGAACAGACTTTGTTAACAGTGGTCGCGTTTTATTCGAACTTACAAAATGTCTGGTAGGTGCTGATATTCAAAGACACTCTATTCAACCTTAGTTTCAAACGAGGCAGACATTCGTTTTACAAGGGGAAACTGGTTTCTTTTGAAATGTGGTCGTGACGAGGGCAAGACGAGGGAGTACGTTCCGAAAAAACAAAGGTCGAATTGCTGAGTGCATGTATTTCAAACCGAGAGGATGTGGATGAATACGCCTTCGTAAGAAAGTGTTGAAGTTCACCCCGTCCACGGGCGCTAGGTACACGCGAGTCGTCGCCTACTTAACACCGTTATACATCTCTATCAACATCAGCTGCATTAAACACTACATCAACATTGTAGACTCTTGTATGTCCTGTCAACGCTGTTGGGAAAGAGAGCAGGGTGGTTCTTTGTCACGTAACATGTATCCTTCAAGCGTCAACCAGAATGGAACTTCTCTTTATCAATGGGCTGATGTGAGTTTTGGGCGCGATGTGTATCCGTTTACTAACTCGTTGAAAATGTATTTATTTGACAATTGGTAATCAGAAACTTGTTACATCCATTAGAAGGTTTGTTTGTTTGTTTGTTTGTTTGTTTGTTTGTTCTTTTTCAAGTTGTATGACGGCAGTCTGTAAATTTATGGAACAGACAATCCAGTGATTGACATTGTGAATTACGATACACGCCCCGGGGTAAGACAACAATGACCGTTACCATTCCATCCGTTCGGTCGACTATTTTGGCCCACAGAGGTTGCAGAGACCTAATCACGGGGATTCAGTCGGTCACATTTGGCAAACATATTGTAATGTGTTTAACGATTTTGTGTTTGTGTGTGCACTTTCGATTGGTGTGTGTTGATCTATGATCGTGTGCGTGTTTTAGTCATCAGTGTTGTAAAAATGCGGGCGCAATGGGCTAGCAGCAATTTCTGAGTAGTCATCTTTACAAATATTCCTCTCGGCAGATCGTGCTTAAAGTTACACAGAACGTCTAAAACAGGGAATTAAAGACCCGCGGTTATTTAACGTCATCGACCTGTTATTTAAGTACGAAGAACTATTGTACAATTTCATAAGGTGGGCCACACATATTGATACAATTGCTGTCGGTGTGGTAGAATGATTGAGTGAGTGAGTGAGTGAGTAAGTGAATAGGGGCTTCAGTGAATGATTGAAAGTTTGCTACAAGTCCAAACATACTTCCAAATTTAATGACAGTTTCCACGTTCAAACATGCCACCTTTCCTGTATGTACCGAGAAGATCCGGGTTAGACTTGATCTTCAGTAACCCACGCTTACCGTAAGAGGCGACTAACGGGATCGGGTGGTCAGGCTCGCTGACGTGGTTGACACATGTCATCGTATCCCATTGCGCAGATCAATGCTCATGCTGTTCGTCACTGGATTGTCTGGTCCAGACTCGATTATTTACAGACCGCCGCCATATAGCTGGAATATTGCTGAGTGTAGCGTAAAACTAAACTCACTCACTACTCACTATCGTGGGTTGTAAGTTTAGACCGACAGTCATTTGGCGTTGTTCCTTTATATCTTGTTAGTTGAATACAATATTTATTTTAGTCAATGGGTTGGGGAGTTTGGCTGCAGATCTTTGGGGTTGTTGGACTGATTATTCTGTTGATCCGTTCGGATTCGATTCCCAGGTTTGAAGCCTATTATTAGACAAATGTCCTTGTGATATATTCCATTACTTCCCGAAATGTGGGCCATTTAACCAAAGTGTATGTCGTTGATGAGTGCGTAAATCGTCATAAAATTGTTTAATATTAAAAGTTATCATGTTACAATATGTAAATGTGCACACGTTCTGATACACAAGTACGCACGCGCACACATAGACACGCAAGGCACTGTAAGAAACTTTGCATATGCTGTGGTATGGCGCACATCTTCTGACTGTTTGGTATGCATAGACATGGGCGAAGACAAAATATTGTTAGAAATATACCGATCGTAAACCTAGGAATTGTTCCTGTAAATATGACCTATATTGCACATTAGTTGAATGCGTAGAAGAAAAACAACCAATAATTTGTACGAACAGAATATCTTTTATGTTGATAGTACGCTATATGGCTGAAATAATGCAACGTTACATAATAACTTTAACGCTGATATCTGCATAAGGCTACTAATACGGCGTAAAGCAATATTCATGCTCTCACCCACTTGATTACTCATGACGAAAGTCAATAACCGACTTCCTAATAAACTGAAAGGTAATACCCTTCCTCCACCCCCCTTAATGTATAGCATCTTCTATAATAAATATACACAAACACAATTTCATACTGTTTTAACAAAGTTTGGATTGAATTACCAACCTTTAAAAGCATGAAACGACAATATACAAACACAACATAAACTTCCCATAACAGATATCTTTAAACACATGGCATCACAACAAGCTTAATGGTCTCCTAACTAGAAATAAACATGTAGTTTTACTTTTTTCAACGAAACATAATCTGTCAACGTTTCTTTAACAGCAAAATTGAAAAAATTTGAAAACACGAAGAACGCCAACCAAAACATTGAAACTGGAGGCATGGAATCTGTAAATTGAAAACAGATTTTTCATAAAATTCCGACACTGGGTTATGACACATCGCCAGCTAAGAGGCAGAACCGTCGAACAACCCGCTTCTACCGGCAGTCATGTAACAGGTTTGTACAGTAGCTGGGGTTCAAGCTGCGTTGTGATAAGAGGTGGGCGACTTCCCCCTCGCTGATTTTTTTCTGGCGATAAAAAGACGATGACATTGCACGATAAGGGATATTTTTTTAGGAGATCTCCTTTCCTCTCGTCCCATTGACTTCGCTTACAGACAGAGAGATTACGGCGGATGTGAATTAAAGGACTCTGGTATCCTACAAGATAAAAAGCTTAAGATAAACAAGAAAATAAGCTGGATGAAGATGTGGATAGTACTTGGTAAATTACTTGAAATACCATCGGGAAAATAAACAGGATCGTCCTGATTTGCTGATGGATATTTTCATACCGCGGGTCCCACTTCGCCGAATGTTAGAAGTGCGGCTAAAAGTGTGGTTTCATAGTCAAGTGATGAATCCCGCGACGTATTAATGAACTTACAGATAGGCTGATCGCTTGTCTAAATATATCTGTGATAGCGGAAGATTCACCAGCATCATGTCCCGGTCGTGTGTGGGGGTGAAGGTGCTGCTGCTGCTGCTGTCGCTTCTAAATGTTGGAAGGGGACGGGATTATTCAGACTATTTGGGAAACTTTGGTGACTTGCCCGATCTGTCCCTACCGAAGGACTTGGAGGGATTGGAAGGGTTCGCCGATGTGGGGGGTGGCCCGAGGGGTGATGGGGGTGATGAATTCAGGCCCGAGGGGGTCGTGCAGGGTCTGATGATGGGGGACGTCATTCGGAGGATTGAGAATTTGGAGATACTGTGTCAGGAGCATGTGTCCCCGGGAACGCCACGAGCTACGACACAGACGTTGCCGGCAGGTAGGTACATTATCTGGACTCTTTTCACGATCTTTCACAGATTCCATTACTTTCAAACCGTTATGATGACGCCATACTTTTGTTCTTGCCGTTGATTGTGAACCAAGAACGCACGTGCATTTGGATAAGAAACACAGCAGGGGCGGATCCAGGATTTTGGAGAAGGGGGTGCACATAAATCATGAAGTGAAGAGAAATGATCCTCAGGGAGTATTTTTCTGTTGAGAGGGAGGGGGTGGGGATCTGCCCCTGCACTGACGTAGCTATAGGTCATTATATAATATGATATATGTTCATGCATCCATGACATGGTTTTAGGCAGAGAAATCACTGGAATGCGTCGATTTCTCCATTACATATCCACAAGCGAAATCAGCTGTGTGCTTATGCTTTATAGCCTCACAGTCCCTGAACCACATTATTTTCCCGTCCAGCCTTTTCTGCAATACCCACCCCTGCACTGACGTAACTATAGGTCATTATATAATGTCATATATTTCATTCACCCATGGTTTAAGTTAGAGAAATCACTCGAAGATGTCGATTTCTCCATTACATATCCACAATCGAAATCAGCTGTGTGATAAAGCTGTTATAGCCTCACAGTCCCTAACCACATTATTTTCCTTCCAGCCTTGTCAGCAATGCAAAACCCTAGATGAAGCAAGTCTAGATTTCCTCGGGTATATCTCCCATCGCACTGGGGCTCCTTATAAATTCAAATAGGATTATTTGTATTTATCAAAACTATATATTCAGAGACTAAACCTTTGTCTAATGCTTGTATAACCAGCAATATCACGGCGGTATAACTGGGATAACCCCAAGGCGCCATAGTATACTGGAATATACCATTGAACCAACAGTAACCCACTAACTCCACATTCTCATTATTTAGAGTGGAATATCGACATAACAACCTTTAGATATCTTTGATGCAAGGTGTATAGAGTCCCAGTTTATCATAACAATTACAAGTTGAAAGATAAAAACGAGTCATTGAAAAGATTTTTTTATCATGACATGACTTGGGGATAAGGTTATTTGCAGCCTCAGAAATGCCACATGATTGTGTTCAATGGAGGATAGTTCAACTAGTAGACTAACAACCAGTCTCTGAAATGAACATATTTTACTGAAAAAAGTTCATAGTAAAAAAAATAAAATATAATGAAAAGGAGCCCTGAGACTTTCTGAGGAAATCTAGACTTGCCACATTTTAGACTTGCGTGGGCTTTCTTGGATATATTTGCTTCAGGGTCTGTACGACAGACTATTCAACTAGTCGACAGCCGCCATGTAGATGGAATATTGCTGATTGCGGCGTTAACCAATAAACAAACATATTCGACTTTCATGTTAAACTGAGCCATAAAAGAAACTATACACCTATGCTTGATGGCGGCTATAAACGAAGAAGAAAGGGTTATTCGATAGTTATGTCACTGCGTTATGGGGAGCGGTGGGGTAGTCTAGTGGTTAAAACCTTAGCTCGTCACGCCGAAGACCCGGGTTCGAATGCCCACATGGGTACAATGAGTGAAGCCTATTTCTGCTGTCCCCGCCGTGATATTGCTGGAATATTGCTAAAAGCGGCGTAAAACCAAACTCGATAGTTATGTCACTGCGTTATGGACCCTAACGTTAGAGTGTGACGTTCTGATAACGTGTGTAATTGTTAGGTGGAATCCAAATGCAAAGGTTGCAATTTCTTTTGCCCATCAGATTACACAATTTCTGAACATATTAGAAGAGAACAGCAGGAGCTGTGGTAAAACAATAAGTTCCAATAAGGTAGCTCCTAACACGTAGAATAGTGGTATCGTGGTTTACAAAGTGTCGCAATACGCACTACACAGTTATCTCCTTCAACAATGTAAGGATCTGCTAGTCGAGGGCTAGGTCACCAGACTCGTCCAGTAACTGGGGCGGTGGGGTAGTCTAGTGGTTAAAGCGTTGGCTCGTCACGCCGAAGACCCGGGTTCGAATCCCCACATGGGTACAATGAGTGAAGCCCATTTCTGGTGTCCCCCGCCGTGATGTTGCTGGAATATTGCCAAAAGCAGCGTAAAACCAAACTCAGTCGTCCAGTAACTTAACCACAGCCTGGCTGTTCCATTCGCAAGGTCGCAATTACATAAAAAGAGTTCACAGCTACAATCTGGGTCAAACTAACGCGCGATTTTAAACTAAAATTAAATCTCTTTGGCGCCCCCCACCCCCCCTACCTACAATAATATGTTTAAAACAATGTTCATATTCAACATTACGAATACATTTTTATTCTTAACCAATATGCATATGTAATATTAACCGGCACATGTGATTCAAATACAGTTAATAGATATAATCAACCGCTAGATATTTAGATAAATTTTAATGTTTTTCAAGGTTTTATGTTTTTATACTTGAAATTTTATCTCACTTACGTCAGATACAAGGTTATCTTGGCTTCAGCCAAACAGTTCTGTGTACGTGGAAGTGATACAGGTTGTTTCAGACCTTGATGCTTATTCCATATCTCAATCACTCCATCAGGGCTGCCCTGTATCTGGCAATTGCTTCTGTGTGAACCCAGGCAGCTTATTAACGATAGACGTCTTTAAAACGGCAAGCCGTTGCGTTTGAGCGCTGATAAGAACTTTACAAGCAAATTTCTGAACAGAATCCCTCCATGTCGACCTGGATTTTGTTTTTCACTGTTTTCTTAACAAAGATATCCTTCAGCGGATGTGAGCCATTTTCCAACTCTGGTTACATGAAAGAAATGTTCTGTCAGTGATACGAGATGGTTGTCCAACCTAAATATGGGTATATATCGATTTGTATATAATAGTTAATCTAATCGCGAGATAGAGCGATTATATTTTTTTAGATAAAGAAAGACTTCGTTTCAAGAACAAGGATAAATTGTGAAATGGCGAGGGAGCGCCGGGAAATATGAACATAAACATCGTTAAATACATGTGACGCGTTATGACGTCAACGTTTAACACAAAGGCTGCGATCTTGAAGCGTTGAACGTTTTAATCGTGTGTCAAACTTTCATGTCAAGGGCTGCCTTCCCAGGGGCTTTGCTTCCAACTCTCACTCCGACCCATGCACTGTGTACATCGTAAACAGGATAACTTTGTTGACATCTTTGAAATAGAGACACTCTTTGAAATATTATATTTCCACTTACACTAAAACTGTTCTATAAATACTAAACTGTCGTGCAAAAGAAACTACACGCAATGCATGATGCTGGCTGAACTGAAACAAACGAAAATTACATAACGCCGTCGGTTCCAAATGAATTCCCGTGCTTCAAATACTCATTAACACCCGGGAATTGGCCAACACATGATGTGTATCTTCTAATTCGATGATGATTTTACATGGTAACATAGTTATGTCTTGGACATAGCCTCGTTTGGGAAATGACGTCAGTATCTATATCTTCCTATCAGTAACCTCCCACAGATTCTCTGTCGCTTATGGGTGCAGTTTGATTGGACCGTATGTTTTAATTGGGATAGTTGGACTTACACTCAAAACGAAACTACGGTTTTCATATGTTATAGGGGGCGGTGGGGTAGCCTAGTGGTTAAAGCGTTGGCTCGTCACGCCGAAGACCCGGGTTCGAATCCCCTCAAGGGTACAATGTGTGAAGCCCATTTCTGGTGTTCCCCGCCGTGATGTTGCTGGAATATTGCTAAAAGCGGCGTAAAACCAAACTCAGTCAGTCAGTCATATCTTATAGAATGGTGTCCATTCTATTGTTGGTTTGTTCGATTGGAAAATCATTGTATTTTTAACACCAATGAAACTATTTAGTCAATGATCATTTACTTTATCCTATAAAATGTAGCTGGGAAAGACGGTTTTGTCTTATGGAGGTTAGAACAGATTCAGTTTTTCAACTGACTGAGAGGGGCGGTAGGCTAGCCTAGTGGTTAAGCGTTCGCTCGTCACGAGGAGAACCCGTTTTCTGGTGTCCCCCGCCGTGATATTGCTAGAATATTGCTAAAAGCGGCGTAAAACTAAACTCACTCACTCAACTGACTGAGCATTTGTATTTTAAGGCAATATCTTAAAATCCAAAAAGGTCCACCGTGGACTTGTGAAGTCGCGCCCAGATCGTCAGTTGAATTGCTAACTATAAAGTCATCCTTGCACTCAGCTTGTTGACAAATTCTCACCCGGATCCTCACGGATTCATATCGAAAAGGGGGCGGTGGGGTAGCCTAATGGTTAAAGCGTTGTCTCGTCACGCCGAAGACCCGGGTTCGAATCCCCACAGGGTACAATGTGTGAAGCCCATTTCTGGTGTCCCCCGCCGTGATGTTGCTGGAATATTGCTAAAAGCGGCGTAAAACCAAACTCAGTCAGTCAGTCATTCAACGAAAAGACATTGTATAGTGCATTGTCCCTATTTGCATATGGGCACATTTATTATAAGATATTTAGCTGACGATGGTGTCACATAATCTATAATTCCCCATTGACAAAATAAAAGAAACCCGAGTCTAAAAAATTGGTTACATGTGTTTAAAATAATGACATTGGAAAATTTAGTTTACTACATATCAGTTAAAAATATGAACGTTTTTATCATTTACACAATGGCTGAATCGTGCCACTGTTGTATAATTGTGCACCTGTGTTTTCCAATGGAAACACATGCACAATGGAACATAAACTGAAACACTATTTGTTTCTAAAGGCAGATTGGCTGTTGGAACACAAATTCTAAAACAAACAAAAGGGAAACATACAAATACCTCGTTTACCAACTCAGGAATTGTTGAATTGAACGACAAACAGAAACGATATTAACGAAAAACAGCTGTTCGTGGACACAATTCTGTTTTATCAAATAAAACAAACATGAATTCAGAGAGCTCTGTGAACTGATAACATTTTGCAGGGAGAGCGGTGGTGGTGGTTGGGGGACTGTCATGGAAGGTTGTTACATGTATGGGAACGAGGGGGGGGGCAGGATCATCCCCACCCTC